CCTGTTAACAACATTCATCCTGCAGCCCATGGATCAAGAAGTCCCTCAACTTTCACGTCTTATTTAAGAATATATTTCACAAGGCTATGGCTGCCCTGGATAGTGATTCCTCTGATGGATCTGGGAAGTCCACTGAAAACCTTCTAGGAAGGACTCACCATTCTAGATGCCAGTAAGAACATTCGTGATTCATAGAAAGAGGTTAGAAGATCAAACGGAACTGGAGTTTTAAGTGGATTCCAACCCTCATGGATGACCTTGAGGGAGTCAAGAGTCTAGTGGAGAAGTAACTGCAGATGTGGTTGAAACAGCAAGAGAGCCTGAAGATGGGCTGAATTGCTGCCGTCTCATGATCAAACTTGAACGGACAAGGTGTTGAGCTTCATGGATGAGCGAAGAAAGTGGTTTCTGGAGATGGACTCTACTCATGAAGAGTTGTGACGTTTGTTGAGATAGCAACAAAGATTTAGAATTATTTCCTATACTTAGCTGATAAAGCAGCAGCAGGGTTTTCAAGAACTGACTCCAATTTTGAAAGAAGTTGACTGTGGGTAAAATGCTATTAAAGAGCATCTTACACTACAGAGAAACTGTTCAGAAAAGGAAGTCTCAATTAATGTGAGAAACTTCATCGTTGCCTTATTTGAAGAAATTGCCACAGCCACCCCACTCTGACTAGTCAGCAGCCATCAACATGGAGGCAAGAGCCTCTACCAGCAAAATAACTCCCTGGAAGCTCAGATAGCAATTTTTTAGCAAGAACATTTTAAATTAAGATATACAAAGTGTTTTCCTAGACATGAGGCTATTGCACACTTAATAGACTATAGTATAATCGTAACCTCTGTATGCACTGGGAAACCAAAAATTCATTTGACTTGCTTTATTGCAACATTCACTTTATTGTGGGGATCTGGAACTGAATTTGCAGTATCTCAGGCATGCTGGTGCACAGTCTAGAAAGAGCTACACACACACACACACACACACACACACACACACACACACGTGCGGTCATTTGATTCCCTCAAAGTTTCCAAGAAAATTCAATGGAAGAAGTAATTATTTCAATAAATGATTTGGAATAATGGGACAGCCGTATGAAAGAAAGGAGAAGGAGGGAGTGAAAAGAAAGGAGGAAAAAAGAACTTCAGCCCTTACTTCATACAGTATATAAACATTAACATAAAATGGTTCATGACTGAAGATCTAGAACTGTAAAACTCCAAGAAAATGTAGAGAAACATAGGATTGATCATGATTTAGCTAAGATTTTTTTAAGCACGTCCCAAAAAAAGCATAGAGTATAAAAGAAAAAATCAATTGGAGAAAAATCAATTGGGCTTAATAAAAATTAAGAACTTTTGCTCTTTAAAGATATATTTAAGCCAAAACTCCTAGGGATATGCCCCTGAGTTAAGATGTTCCATTTTCCTCATGTCCTCCTTTAGCAAATGGAGGTAAAAATACATTCCTTAGGGATATTCATTAGGGTGAAGACTAAATAATGTACGGAATTGAACGTATTTAGCAAAGGATCTATTAGGTGTCTAAAATCTAAGCTGTATTAGCTATGTACCAGCAAGCCCTCAATAAATACACATGAAAACTTTAAAGAGACATTTATAAAAATAAAAAGGAAGCCACATACAGAAAATATATACAAAACATAGTTGATAAAGGACTTGGGGCTTGTATGTAGAATATATAAAGAACACTTTTTAAATTTGTTTTAAAGTTTATTCATTTTGAGAGACAGACAGAGAGACAGAGAGAGACAGAGCGCATGAGAGCGAGAGCGCACACGAGTGAGCAAGCAGGGGAAGGGTGCAGAAAAGGGGAGAGAATTCCCAAGCAGCCTCCACACTGTCAATGCAGAGCTCAACATGGACTTTAAGCCACAAACTGGGGCTCCAACCCTCAAACCAGGAGATCATGACCTAAGCCAACGTGGAGTCCAATGCTTCAGCTGACTGAACCACCCAGGCACCCTTATAAAGAAACCTTTAAGAAACACATAATTCATTTTTAATAGTATTCCTATTAAAGAGTTAGATACATTACCTAAGAAGATATAGAAAGATGGAAAATGAGCACATGAACAGAGATGCTTGACACCATTAGTCATTACAGACACACAAGTCAGAACCACAATGAACTACTACTACACTTCCACTGGAATGGCTAAGATTAAAAAGATTAACATTACTGGGACACCTGGGTGGCTCAAGGTTAAGCATGTGACTCTCAATTTCAGCTGAGGTCATGATCTCACAGTTCCTGGGCTCAAGCCCTGCACTGGGTTCCATGTTGTCAACTTGGGATTCTCTGTCCCTTTCTCTCTGCCCCTCCTCAACTTGCACATGTGCTCTCTCATTCTTGCAATAAATAAAACAAAAAGAAAAAAGACTGGGGCGCCTGGGTGGCTTAGTCGGTTGAGCGTCCGACTTTCGCTTAGGTCATGATCTCTCAGTTTGTGGGTTTGAGCCCAGCGTCGGGCTCTGTGCTGACTGCCAGCTCAGAGCCTGGAGCCTGTTTCAGTCTGTGACTCCCTCTCTCTCTGACCCTCCCCTGCTCACGCTGTCTCTCTCTCTCTCTCTCCTAGAAATAAAAATATTTAAAAAAAAAAGAAGAAAAAAGACTAACATTACCAAGTACTACCAAGAATGTGAGCAACTAGAACTCTCCAAGACTGTTGGTGGAGGGTTAAGTAGTTTAACCACATTAGAAAAAGTTTTGGCAGCTTTTTAAAAATTAAATGTACACCAACCATGATCTAGTAATTCCATTCCTATGCATTTACTCCAGAGAAAATACATGTCCATACAAAGACTTCTATGTGATCCCAAGTTCTTTACTTATAACCAGACCCTGGAAACTCAAATGGCCATCAACAGGTGACTGGATAAACACATTATGGTATATCCACAAAGGATTACTTGGCAATATGAAAGCATGAAATATTGATACTCACAATATGGGTATATTTCAAAACAATTATGCTGAATGAAAGACACTGGGAGGAAAAAAGTGCATACTTCTAATATTTATTTTTGAGAGAGAGAGCGCGCGCGCACGCATCAGTGGGGGAGGTGCAGAGAGAGGGGGGACACAGGATCAAAGCAGGCTCAGTGCTGATAGCAGAGAGCCTGATATGGGGCTAGAACTCACAAACCATGAGACTGTGACTGGAGCCAAAGTCAGATGCTCAACCACTGAGCCACCCAGGCACACAAAAGGGCATATCCTTGCATTCCACTGATAGAGGAGTTTGCAGTTCAAAAAAATCTATCATGGCAAAAAGCAGATCGGTGATTGCAAGGGGCAGGTAGGGAGGATGGAAAGGGAAGGGAAAGATTTAAAGGGGCAAGAGCATCTTAGAGACAGATATGTTCATTATCTTGATTGCAGTGATGGTGCTAGGTGTAGACATGTCAAAACTCAAACTCCACGCTTTAAAAATATACAATTTTATTTCAATGATCTCAAAGCTCTAAAAATTACAGGTCTTATGACCCATTCTTCATAGGCCTATATGGAAAAGTGGCAAATTAATGCTAAGTGGATACATGTTTCCTGGGCTGGAAATAATTCAGTGTTTTGCCGCAGAAACCAGCAAATCCTTATATAGAAAACTGCACACAATACTCTCTCCTCATGTGGGGTGTGGCCAGACACAGAACAGAGGGAAAGCCCAGAACACTGAATTATATATTAACTCGTCACACTAATAGCAGTCAATATGGCTTATTAATTTTGAAAATCGCAGGGCACCTGGGTGGCTCAGTCAGATATCCGACTTTCGCTCAGGTCATGATCTCACGGTTTGTGGGTTCGAGCCCTGTGTCAGGCTCTGTGCTGACAGCTCAGAGCCTGGAGCCTGATTCAGATTCTGTGTCTCCCACTCTCTCCGCCTCTCCCCCACTTGTACTCTGTCTCTCTCAAAACCAAACATTAGAGGGTATAGCTTAGTGGTAGATCATTGGACTGAAAAAATAAACATTAATTTTTAAGAAAACTGCATACCTAGGTTTGTCATTTAATTTAGGATCCTGAGTTTTTACTGATGGTTCTTGTAAATCTGAAGAATGTTCGTATTTTGAAGTAACTTCCAATCATGAAAATTAAAAACAAAAATTAAGCTTTTCAAGTAAACATTGAAGCGCAATACTCAAGCCTTAGAATACATTTTAAAACATCTGACCTTGTTGCAGATCATCTAGTTTCGATATTTCAGGTGAACTATCTTCTGTGTTTGTTTGCTGTAGAAAAAAGTAGTTACGGTGCCTTTGAAGTCCCTCTTTTGAAATGCTTTGGGAACGACTTTACACATCCAAAGAAAAAGCATTTCTACTAAATAAGGAGATACCAGGCTTCTTATTAGATGTGGCTCCTAATGACTGTTGGCTGTTCCAAAAACTTGACATTCACTCTCAGGCAAAAATTTGCCACTATCAGAAACACTCATTACACTTCTATATAATCTCCACGTCATCACATATAAACAAAAGGAGGTCTGGACTGAATACCCAGTGCATGTCAAGAAGTGTGTTAGGATGAAAAAAAGAAGTATGTCTAACATCTGGGAGGGCTACAGTATGAACCAGCTATTATCTCCATTTTATAGAGGAGACGCCTCAGACTCAGTGATGTTAATTTTCCCAAGTTCCTGTATCTAGTAAGTGAAAGCCAGGTCTCCCTCTAAACATTAGACTCTTTTCCCTAGATCTCCGTCTCCAGATCCCAAGTGAGGGAATGAGGCAGAGCCAGCCAAGTCACATATTCCTTGGGAGAGCCAACTTGTCTGAGAGCAGAGAACCCAGGAACATGGCATGCAAAAATAATCTAGGAGAGGAATGACCCCCACCCCCATCCAAAAAAAAAAAAAAAAAAAGAGGAGAAATCTGTTGGTCTGGAAAAAAATGGACTACAAGCCAGGAGGGGTGGCTTCCACAGTGGTTCCACAGTTAAGAACCTTGTGCCCAGCATCCCATACTCACAACAGGCTCAGACTGGTCATTTAAGGGGAGAGCTATTGGGCGGTGGTCGTCTCCTGCACTCATGAACTCGGCCAGCTTGGTAGATTCTTCTGTCCAGCCTATACACAGAGAAAAGAGCATTAGAAGTGGTAACCACATTCTCCCATTGTTCTTCATGGGACGCCCATGCTGATAGTACATCGCCATCTATTGCGAAAAGCTGGTAATTACATCCGGTCTCAAACCTCAAGTTTGAAATCTAGCTGCACTTTTAGAAAGAGCTTTGGGATTTAACTCTAATTAAATAGATACAGGATCTATAACCAAGCCCTTTCCATGCCCCCATCTTCTGCCTCCAGGCACCCCTATCATTTTCTCCTTTTTTCATTTCCATTGACCCACAAGAGAATTTATCGGGTTGGGAAAATGATTCGAGGTGTTAGCAACTTTTCTTTCTCTGTAGGGACAGTAGAACATTTATTACTTTTACAGAACCACAGGCTTTCAGGGACCTCTTCCAAGCAAGGTTTTATTAGTGTTTTTAAGGGAATTCAGAGTAAGAAATTTTATTTCCCAGTATACCTGTCTCTCTTTCATGACTGCTAGGAATGTCAGTGTCTGCTTTCTCAGATTTACCAGAAAGTTCTGAGGAGCTTCTTTTCTGGCCAGACAAGATCTGAAATGCAAGCCAAAATCCACGTGACCTTTAAAAAGGACTCAACTCTTAAAATTTAAGGAACATCTAAAGCTTGGAACACAGCACACTGATAAATTCAAAGTTAGTCAATCTTTGGCTTGTTTTCTTTTGAAGGATATTATACTGTTTCCACCTCTCTAACCCCCTTCCCTCCAGGACTAGCTCTGGCTGACCACTTCCCTTCTCGCGTACCCCATCCTGGGGTCTTCACAGCCTCTCTATCCTCTGACCCAAGTCTGACCCCTTATTAACTTCTAACTCCTGTTTCACACGGAGACTGAATCTCGCAAGAAGAGACTGCAGGGAGATCCCCACTGTAGGGTTTCTCCGACCCCACTCCTTCCTCACTAGGGCCTCACAGTCCAGGAACTGCAGCTTAATAAGCATGCATACCTTAGTTCTAACCCAAAAAATTGTATTCACTTTGGGAGATATGGAAATACATACAATTTTTCTTTTTGTTATTTTTAACATTTATTTATTTTAAGAGAATGAACAGGATAGGGGCAGGGAGAAAGGGAAAGAGATAATCCCAGGCAGGCTCAGCTTGGCTATGTCAGCACAGACTCCAATGCAGGGCTTGATCCTATAAACCAGGATATCAGGACCTGAGCTGAAATCAAGAGTCAGATGCTTAATGGACTGAGCCACCCAGGAGCCCCCTGAAATTTTTCATTGAATAAAGGAAATCTTTAGTGTTGAGGCAGAAAGGAAGGGAGGCCCAGAGGACTAGTTCACCAAAGCAAAGTCATTTTAGTTTTAGACTGACTCTTAACCTAACTGTCAGCAAGCCATAAAAGGAGTCCTATGATCTGACTCACGGAAGACCAGAAGACTGCATTCCAACTGGCAGTAAAAGGCAGAGGCCAGACATTGTTAAAATTGCTCCCTGTAGGTAATCTCACAACCCTAGGAAAATAGACTTACTTCCCAGTGTACATGATAAACCCAAAGTTTAACAGTCCCTCCATATAGTTAGGTATTTGGAAAAACATAAAACCCTTTGCCAGAGGCAAAGTGGGGGTCCCTTGTCCTCACCTTGGAGGAAAGGCCACTACTTTGTGAAGTAGCTCTTTTCTTATTTCTAGGTTTAATAAATCTTTGTCCCTTTCTCTAAATGGCTTGCTCTTATGTTCTTTCTCCCATAAAGCCACAGCCCTCTTTCTTGGTAAAGGGCCATACACCCTCTCTCTGGGGACCTTAGCCTATCTAGCATCAGTGTTAAGCCAATTCATATGTAATATGTTATATGAGGTAATTTTTTAGTAAATGATACATTCTCCACTTTTTCTCATCCTTATCCATAAAATGGTCTTTTCATAGAGGGAGTCTTTGGAAACACTACCACAGAGCACTTTACAGTATATAAAATGTCTCCATATGCAACTCAATACCAAAAGCAAATGGGCCCAAGGCTTCCTCCCTGATTTCTTAATTTAACCACCTATCGGCCATTACCATAATATCATAGTTCTTGTCACAAATTTCTTTGCTCTGCCTATCGTCTGTGCTAGGGAAAACCTTTGTTTATCTTGTGTGTCAGTAGGAAACAGTCAATGATATGGAAGCCATATCAGTCTAGAAGAGGTGTAGACCATTTCACCATAAGACCAGGGGATAAAATTTCATAACTCCCTAAGAGACAAGATTTATAGTGATTCTCCTTGGTCCTCAGGGTGGAGAGAGAGAAGGAAATACTAAGAAGTCCACAGCAAGTATCCTCCAAACTTCATGAAGAGTGTTGGGAGGTGGTAATGTTATCCTAGAAAATTTTCAACTGTTCACAATAAATGGAATAAAAGCATTTTGAGGCACAAAGGGGTTTTGTGTCTTACATGTCCCAATTATAGGGTATTCCAAAGATCAAGCTATCTGCTTGAGGAGATGTTCACATCAGAACCCAACAAGAAAGTTAAGGACATGAAAGCATGCTAAAACATTTTCAAATAACCAAAGAGAATTAAATTTGCCACCTGTTTGTCTTCTCCTAAAGCTTTAAGGGAAGCTTGCAATATGCTGAATTGCAAATCAAAATGGATTTCTATTTTCATCACTTCTTTGTTGCTGACATTAATAGGCTTCTTCAGGCAAATGATAAGCATCTTCATATTTTCAGTTTCTAACAAAATAAAGTATACAAATGCATATCAACATACTGAAAGGTTTTAAGACTTTAAAATTGTAAGTAACTGCACTGGGATATTTTTCAACTGATCAGATTTTTCTTCAAGAAGTTGGAAAGAAATTGTATTAAATAAAGCAGCTTTGACACTTTTATTAGAAGCACATTTGTGGTGTTTATACAAATACACACCGTATGATTATGTAGTTGATCTTGCAAAGACAGGAAGTTACTTATCTTAGCAACAAAGCAATGGAGAGAAAGACACCCACAGACAATCATGCTGATGAGGGACATGGCTACCACCCTGGATGATCAGGCCTGGGTTTATGTACAATGGGCATCGGATCTGGTGAGACAGAAAAGCCTGAGCTACATACACTGCTCAATAATCTAGCTGCAATTCTGATGCACACAGAAGAATATACACAGGTAAAAGATCTTCCAGGAAGCACTGAAGCAAGCAGAGCTGAAAAGCTATGCAATTTCCATACAGCACTTCAGGGAAGAGTTAGCTGAACTGTCAAGAAAAAAATAAACCCTTAATTTAATTTTATGAAGCACTAACTCTTTTTGTTGTAGAGAATTTTCAGCAACTGCTATTATGCCAGTCTCATTGGCACCCAAACCAAGGACTTAAATCTTTTTTCTTTGATATTTAAGTGTCATCAACTTAGTAGCTATGGTAAAGGACTAGTTGTAGACACTGCCTCTTGTGTTTTTAAGAAGGAACAACTTTAGCCCTGACGGATTTTGACTTCTAAGGACAGATAACTGAGGCTTTCAGTTGTAACAGATGGTTAGGGGCTATCTGTGCTGGTCTGAGTATAACTATAGGGGGAGATAGGCCAGTTTTCCCTTAGGGTGGGTATGTGGTGATTTCCATCAGGCATCTCTATCTTAACGTTTTGATCCATTGATTTGCTACCTTCTTTATTTTATCAATAGCTGGATGATCAGAGCTATGTCTCATGGCAAAGGGGGATTATGGGGAGTTTTCTTATTTGAAAACTAAGAAATGGGGAGTTTTCTTCATTTCATGAAGCCCAGGTCGGGATCTAATGCATAATAGATCCACAAAGTATTATCTTGGTTTGCACAGTGTCCAGCATAAAGTTTTAAAGTAGGAATTAGGCCCTTGAAAAATACTCATTTAATTAGAATGAAAGGACTGGATATTCTTCTATCTGGTTCTATACAACTATGAAAAAAGGGAAAAGTGATATAAACTCCTGTCAATGATATATGAGCACCCCATTTCCTCTGCAACCTAGGTCCTTGAACACAGTCATCTGAGGAACTCAAAGATACACATGCCCAGGATGCACCCCAAACTTTCTGTCTCAGGTAGGGCCTTATAAATTTAATATATAAAAATATCCCCAGTAATTCTGATATGTACTCCTAGCACAGTCAAAGTATCACCCATCTGGATTCTAGTCCTGGCTTTGAGTTTGGGTCTTAATATCCTCATCTGTAAAGTAGGGAATGAGATAGTCTCTTAGCCTTGGGAGAGCCTATCTGATCGTATGACCTTAAGTGAATAGACTTCAGTGGTGAAAGATCTTTATCACACTGCCTGAAAGTATATAATGTATGTACATACAAGCTAGGTAAGTGGAGGTCTTTACCTTAGCAGTCTGGCAAAGAGCTCTTTGCCTAGCAGAATGGCAATTTTTATAAGTACCATATAGGATTACTGTTACTATTGGTAAGCTTTTTGGGGTGAGGATGTGAATGGGAATGATAAGCAGATATTGGTTTCTTGTGTCAATAGTGTAAGAATCCTTTCATGATAGAGACTCTACCAAAAAAAAAAAAAAAATCACTGATTAAAGAAATTGGAAAAAAAAGAAAGAAAGAAATTGAAGATGACACAAAGAAACAAAGACAATCTATACTCATGGAGGAACAAATATTGTTAAGATGTCCAAACTACATAAAGCAATCTACAAAGTGAATGCAATCCCTATCAAAATAGTTACAGTATTTTTCACAGAGCTAGAATAAACAATCCTAAGATTTGTATGGAGCCACAGAAGACCCCAAAGAGCCAAGGCAACCTTGAAAAAGAAAAGCAAAGCCAGAGGCATCATAATTCTGGACTTCAAGGAGTATTACAAAGCTGTAACAATCAAAGCAATATGGTACTGGCACAAAAATAGATACACAGATCAATGGAACAGAAAGAAAACCCAGAAATTAACCCACAGCATGGTCAACTACTAATTATATATATGGTCAATTACATTGTCAATTATATTATATGGTCAATTAACCTTCAACAAAGCAGGAAATATCCAGTTGGAAAAAGACACTCTTCAATAATTGGTACTGGGGAAACTAGACACTTTCTTGCATCACATACAAAAATAAGCTCAAAATGAATTCAAGACCTAAATGTGATACCTAAAACAATAATGCTAGAAAAGAGCCCAGACAATAAGGTCTCTGACATCAGCCATACCAAGATTTTTTTAGATAGGTTTTGAGGCAAGGAAAACAAAACTTCTGCACAGAGAAGAAAACAATCAACGAAACTAAAAGGCAACCTATGGAATGAGAGAAGATATTTACAAATGACATATTTGATAAAGGATTAGTATCCAAGATATATAAAGAACTGATACAACACCCAAAAAACAAATAATGCAATTAAAAACTGGGCAGACAACATGAATAGACATTTCTCCAAAGATGACCTACAGATGGCCAACAGACACCTGAAAAGATGCTCAACATCACTCATTAGGGCTATGCAAATCAAAAGTGATCTCACCTCACACCTGTCAGCATGGCTAAAATCAACCTAAGAAACAAGAATTCGCAAGGAGGTGAGAAAAAGGAATGCTCTTGCACTGTGGGAATGCAAAGTGGTACAGGCAGTGTGGAAAACAATATGGAGGTTCCTTAAAAAGTTAAAAATAGGATTATGAGAAAAATCTAGTAATTCCACTACTGTGTATTTACCCAGAGAATACAAAAACATTAATTCAAAAAGACCTATGCACCTTGGGTTTATTGCAGCATTATTTACAATAGCCAGATTACGGACATAGCCAAATGTCCATTGATACATGAAGAGATGATGTGGCCCCCACTCAAGAAAGGGTAACTCCTGGATTTCATGCCCCTCAACATTACTTACCAACCTAGAAGAAAGGAGTGTGATGGAGGTTTGGGGGGGTAGGGGGGAGTCAGAGAGCTAATATTTAGATACAAGTGGATATACCTACACGAACTCATCAATAGTTACTATAAATTTCTGGGGGAAGGACGGCAGGTACTATAACTTTTTTTTTTTTTTTAAGTCATGGTATAAAACATTTACCATGTTAACCATTTTTAAGTGTATATTTCAGTAGCATTAAGTTTATTCACTGTTGTACAGATCACCAGAACTTTCCCCTTTCCGTAGCCCCTGAAAACCACCATTCTATTTCCTGTCTCTATCAATTTCATTATTCTAGACACCCTATAAGTGGAATCTACAATATTTGTCTTGTAGTGACTGGCCTATTCACTTAACATAATGTCCTGAAGGTTCATCCATGTTGTGGCAGGTGTCAGACTTTCTTTTTAAAGCTGAATAGTACTCCATCATATATATACACACACAAACACACACACACTTTTCTTGACTCATGTGTAGATGGACATTTTGGTCGCTTCCACCTCTTGGCTATTGCAAATAATGCTGCAATGAACACAGGTATGTAAATATCTCAAGTCCTGCTTTTATTTCTTCTGGATATGTACCCAAAAGTAAAATTTCTGGTTCGTAGTGTGATTCTATTTTTAAGACCTTGATAAACTCTTCTTACAATGAGAAAACCAGGTAAGCAACTGAATCCTAAAATCATAAAGTGAAGGAGTGGTCAACCTCATACCTCTACATCCTGGCCCAGAGCATGGCGTTCCTTCCACTGCACTACACCATCTCCCTTCTAACTCAATGAATCAAGTCTGCTCTAGAATCAGAACTAAATCTAGAGTAGGTTAGAATTAACCATCTTACCTATTATGCTGAAATTAATCACTGCTTCCTTCAAAATTCTCACTGAGTCCCACAGGGCACTCTTGGGGGAAAAAAAGTTAATGAGCACATAATATACCTGCATATGAACAATCTCTAAGCACTTAGGTTTAAATAGGATTCAAATGTAGTCACCTTAGTATTGTCTATGTAAAAAGTTATACTCTGACTTCCGAGGTTGAAATCAATCCAAAATTTCTCTAATTTTTCATCATCTGGTTTTCTCATCTGTAATATAGAATTTCAAACAGATGTCATGTTAAAGGATCAGATGAAACTTATTTCACTAAAAACTTCTGCTCTTCATAGAAAAAACACTATCCTAACATTATAGTAGGTCTTTATGGTCTTCCTCTTTTCTGCAAAACAACAGGTAGGCCTCAACTTTATATAACTCCGTTATTTCGGGGGGTGGGGTGGGGAACACAACCACTATCCTTACTTTAACATTTAAAGATGTTTAAATGTCTGCAGACTATCTACACAAACTTTCTCCCCCCCCCCAGTAAGAATCATGAAAAAATACCTTCTCTCTGACCCTCCCCTGCTCACCCGCTCTCTCAGAAATAAAACATTAAAAAATTTTTAAAAATTATGAAAAAATAGTCATTATGTTGAAGCAGCAACAATCCATACTGCAGGTGCATGGAAACTTCTGGAGAAGGAGGTATTATGATCAAATATAAGTGATTATTTGCTATCTAACTTACTATATCCATTAAAGCAGAGCTAAGACTTGAGTTCAAATCATTTTAATTGCTTACTATAAGCATATATATATTTATTTATTTAAGCTTCAAACAGTAGGACCTTTATAGAAACAGTATATGTGTCCTTCTCTGGCTTTCAGTTCCGTTCAAACCATTCTATGGGCACATTAACAATACCTATATTTCCTCCCACCTGTTTTCTAGACCTATCAGGGAGTTTTTATTCCTCAACAATGGAAAAAACACTAGACTTACTACTGTACCACTTGCTTTTCTGAAAATGGTATTTCTTGGACATCTTTCCATCATAGGTACCTACTTTTTAATGGCTATAGAGTTGAATGAAGGTTTTAACCTATAATGGATGTTACTGGAAGCCAGTTTCAGGGACTTGATTGAAACTGATGGAAATTTAGAAGTCCCCATGGGGAAAAAAATAGCAAGCAGATATTGGAACCTTAGGATAACAGCAAAGAATGGAGATAAAGGAATCAAAGAGGCTACTAAAATCAGTTCTAGGGATGAGAAACTTGTGGTATAGTCATGAGTTAAAGGCTCAGAGGCCAAGAAAGGAGATCTGAACCGAGAACAAAGATATAGTTAATTAGGACATTTTGCAGGTCCAGGAAACCTCAACAGAATCAAGGTTCAAAGATCTTTGAAGACTTTATCCCCAGTGGAGGTGCTATATGTTGATACTGTTCCTTTAAAAAACAAAAGGGGTAGTGAAAAGCGACTGCTCACCTTTAGACTATGCAGTACAAGGTAGAACGACCTAGAGAAAAGAGTGCTCCCAATTTCTGTGGATCAAGTGGGGAGTATCAATTGGATGGAAAGCAGCAAGGGAATTGCCCTTTCTCCTGCAATCCAGGCATGAATAATGGTATTCATTAATAGGGTAAAGTAAGGCCAGATTCCTGTGACTGACCTCATTAACACAGTATCAACCTTAAAATTCCTGCATCTAGTAGTAACAGTAGGGTCCTTAAACGTATTAGTAAACGACCCCAGTATGGTAGGATCAAAAGAAGAAGAAAGTCTTCAGAGTTTCAGCCTCTAGAAGTAAACTTCCTTTTCAAAAAAAAAAAAAAAAAACCCTCTGTGTGGGGAGAGAAGTTTGGGCCTCATTATGGATTTCTAACTATGGGTTACGTTATATGCCACTCTCCGAGCCCCAGAGATAAACCTACCTCATGCCCATCAGCAAAAGCAGCAATACATGGAAATGAGTAGACCCTGCAAAACACTTCACAATTAAAAAAGCAAAATAAAATGTGATTGGAGCCCAAATATAGCCTACAGATGTTCTAGAACAAGAATTTATGACTAGGGCAGGCAATTCAGTCTCTTGGCATTAAGTATGGACAAGGCTCTCAAACCTGCAGGTGGATACAGCTAGGAGTAGGTCTCTAGTCTCCATCTGGCAGTTTGCAAGCCAGGTTTACTGGTACTAAGTCTCAGTCTGGTTGTGTGGCAAGATTCCCAAAGGTAGGCGTGAATTCAGCAAATTCTCATCAAGGACTTTTTAATAGACTTATCTCCAGTGCCTCAAACCTTCAAGAAGTCACTGTTCATAAAATCTTCTAGAGGATGTGTTAAAGATTTTCCAAGTTATAAGTAAATGTGTTAAAACACTGGTAGAGATAAACACATACAAGTGAATCACTAGGAAGAATGGATCTAATCTTCGGAATCACTAAGGAGAATGGATCTACTGATATTTCTATTCAATGAATAATTCATTAGTGATTAATAAGTTATGTATCCTATGACCTCTCCTGAAATAAGTCTTAGATTTTTCTTTAATATTAGACATTTCAGAAGACAGCTAGTCAATAAAATAACACCCAGAGAAATATCTTACCTTCTTTCATCACCAAGTCTGTTGTTTAGGTGATTGAGAAACCGTCTACTATCCTTCAAAGGAAATAATGCAAACTTTAAAAAAAAGAGGTCTTATTTAAAAACTATTTTTGCTGGCATGAAGCAGCTAGTGTTTGCTTTGAAATTCCCAGGACCCAGTAACATCAAGGTTTCACCAAGATTCATTATTTTAGGTTAATTAAAACAATACTTTGTTATAAAGAGGCAGCTTCAGACTCAAATCCTGGAGGGAACACCCAGGCTGCAGATTTTCAGCTGAGGAATGCTTTAAGTCTCCAAAAATTATATGCACAGTTATGTTTCACTGGGTTAAGAGAAAGAAATACATTTAACTAGTAACCTAGATTCGTTTCGCCAACCCACCAGGCGTCCATCTTGCCAACATCTGCCCAGCACAAGCCAACCACAAACACATAAACTTACCCCCTTTGGGTTTATCTGAGGGTGTTATCTACTGCCATTTTTCCTTATCAGGAGTTCTCTATCCCATTCCTTCCTAGTTTCTCTTTCCGGATACTGGTTCAGAGAATAAGGATTATTTTTTAGAGTTCTTCTGACCAGAAGCTAGAAGCTAGTAGAAAGGTAAATCTGTTGCCCCCAAAATACTAAATCTGACCAGACACCAACTCAGGCTTTTGTCCCTTTTCCTACAAAGGACTGGCTGTTGTCCTGTATCTGCACATCCGATCTTTATTCAGCACTAAGTACACAGCAGTAATGGAGGTCTGGACCTCAAAGAGGTTCAATTAAGAAGTGCATGGCTCTGTGGGGAAAAGGCTTTGAGAAACATTACTTTTGACCCGTTTTCATGAAAATTCCCTGTAGATGAGGGAACGACACAGAGGAAAAAGGAAACTAGCATCTGAGTGTCCACAACATCCCAAGCACTTTTGGTTTCTCTCATTCAGTTCTCACAATGTTAAGGTGGCTTTTATTCCTATTTCACAGATGATACCCTAAGGCTTCCAAAGTCAACTACCTTATAAAAATACATACATCATATAAGCCAGGGAGGTGCTACTCAAACCTGAAGCTTATGGTCTTTCCATTTAGATCAAACAGAAAACTGGCTAAACACCTACTGTGTATCTGGAAATAGGCTCAAAGTTAAATATATTTTCAATAATGTATTTAAGAATTCAGATTTCATAAAGTTCTAATTACATAGCAGTGTTGACTAGAAAGGCTTGGTTCAACAATTTCATGGTTATTAAGAATTTTACCTTTTCTTAAGGGCCTAACCCTCATTTTAAGAACTTTTTGGAAGAGGAAAAACATTTTTGCTATTTTAAGATGAGGGGGGAGTATGCAGCAAAGCTATAGGCTATTTTTGTGCTACTTAAGGATATAATCACCATGAGCTAGATTGCATGGAAAACACTGAAAATTATTATTCCTCCAAACTATAGAGCACCCCATGCAATTTCAGCCTTCCCTCATCTTCCCAGCTGCTCTGTCCAAGGCTGCAATGCACATTCCTTTCTTTTCCAGCTCTGTCTACCAACTGAGGTTTGCTAAAATCGCTCCCTACTTCATGTTCTAACTGGATCCAACCTAATTACATTGTTTTGTGTCCAGTATAAGTTACCTATAGAGAAGCCTTATCTGTAGATCCATGTTTGGCCCACAAATATGGTGTTCACATGGTCCTCAAATCACTTCACAGAAATGGGAAACAGGAAGCTTAATCACATTTAAGAAAAATTCCTCCCCTGAGCCCAATGCTCAGGAAAACACGGAGGATGCTGAACAAGTATTGATCAAATGGAATTTTGAGAACCAGGAATCTTACCGTCTCAAATTCTCGATCCTTAATTTCTTTGAAAGCTTCTGCAATGAGGTCATCTTCAAACCACTGATGGACAAGGTCACCCCTTGATTTTTTCAAGGTCAGTCTACACAGTGCTTCAGAAAGAGCAACCTGCTGGTCATAATCTAGAGATTAAAAGCACGATAGACCTAGATCATTCCAGGATGGGCACAAAGCAAAAGAAAAGAAAGTTCTCCAAATTAGCACTGCTCTAAGAAATGGAAGACTAACATTGTAGGTTATAGTAATAAGCATTATAAAGTAACCTGGATCATTATGTAAATATTTAAGAAACCTTAGAAAAATCTAAATAAGCCAGCATATAACAATTTATAAGATGCAAAGGCATTTATTTTAGATATATTAAAATATTAAAAAGCAGCTCCTCAAACAGCCTTACAAAATACTACAAAAATAAAAGCCCAAGGTAAATTATGGCATTTCACAATGGATAAGAACTACATACATTTCAATTTCAAATAATTTTAAGAGCAAAAGTCACCTTGCAGCTGGATATATACAACAGGAAGACTTTTACAGAATGCTTTTAAAATTTGTAAAGCAATAGATGTTGCTTATGAATACGTAGAATAAAGGTATAAAAGCCTCTTTTAGAATGAAAACCAGATCTAAGTCAAGGATTAGCTCTACCGTTGGAGAGAAGGGAATCAGGGACAGGTACACAGGGGGCTTTACATGTAACTGATTCTACTTAATAAAGACTTGAAGCAAATGTAGCAAAATGAAAATCTGACTAGATTGGTTGATGAATAATGAGTATTTGAATTATTCTTTATGGCTTTCAGCATGCTAAAGCCTTTCAGAGTAAATTACAGATGAAGTGCTAATTCCTATTTTTAACTTAACCACAATTTATTACCACAGTCCCAAGATGCTCATAGAACCCCAAATAGCCAATATAAAATACTCTAATATTTAAAATTCTAAACACTTCTTACCACCCACAGTCAAGATTGTCCTTGCAAGGTCTTTCCTGAAAGATTTAGACAAATTAACATTTTACTGAAGTGAATGAACATACATAAAACTTTACTAAATTGACATTAAAATTGAAAAATCAAGATGTATATTTTTGAAGTTATTGCAAACTCAGCACCAGGATTTCTTAAATGTCAAGAATACATTTTTATGGAAAAACTCTTTGTATTATTGAGTTAAATCCACCTTTTATAAGAAGCTAGAGTTACTGTATATTCTGAGTTTCTATTTCTCCTTCTGTGAGGTGAATTCAATTGGATGATGTCAGAAGATTCTGGAATTTTATAATCACCTCATCAATGTAGGAGGATATATTTCTTATATGATTTTTTTTTCCTTAAAGTTTACACCTGAAAGAAATGATACAGTAGACTCGGAATGTTTAGTTTTTTAATGTTTATTTTTGAGAGAGAGAGAGAGAAAGAGGCACGTGTACACACACACACACACACACACACACACACACACACACACACTCTGCAAGCTGGGCAGGGGCAAAGAGAGGGAGACACAGAAAATAAAGCAGGCTCCAGGCTCTGAGAGGTCAGCACCACAGAGCCCAATGTGGGGCCTCAACCCATGAGCTCAACCGTGAAATTATAACCTGAGCTGAAGTCAGACGCTAAACCGACTGCACCACCCAGGCACCCCGGTGCTGAATCTTCCTAATGTGCTCTTGACCTGCTTTTAAAAACTGACAAATGAAGCAGGGGGTGAGGGGGGAACCCTGGGTGGCTCAGGTGGTTAAGTATCTGACTCTTGATTTCCACTCAGGTCGTGATCTCACGGGTTGGGAATTTGAGCCCCACCTCAGGCTCACAGCTGATAGCATGGAGCTTGGTTGTGATTCCTTGCCTCTCCCTCCCCCCTCTCACTCAAATATAGATAAACATTAAAAAACCAACAAATGTATCCTTTATTAGATGTAATATGGTTAACTTAGTACATTACAGTAAATCCCCCTATTATATCTTAACAATTTCAATTAGTTAAATGTCAACAAATATGATGATCTTTTAATATCTGAAATAATGCTCATTTTAAATAGATTGGCCAAGAAATCTTTACTTCAGTTTCTCATAAAGTGATTTTTTAAAAAGAAAATTAAAGAGGCCCTAGAATAGTACCACTGCTTTGTGCTTGCAGACGTTTTATTTCACCTGAAGTCCAGAACATTCCAGACTTTCTAGAACAAACAAGCGGTGGGACCATAGAATTAGCTTGAAAACTTCTGAGAGAACATCGGGTCAGTTGTTCCCCAAATCCAAATAGTTCACTCAGAGTAATGATTAAACTAATCGTTTTTGGATTGTTGAGTATTTTTTTTAGGAAATAGAAAACTACAACCTGCACACTAGTCAAATGGACAAACGTGGTAGCAGTGGGCTCCATGCTCACCAATCACATCATTTGGGCCTAAATATGACAAACGTGGTTGCCCTTCATGTCACCAGTCATGGCTGCTTGTCACATAAACAAGGGTGTGCCGCACCAGGTCAACGATGCTGGTTGGTAGCAGATAGCATGGTCACAGATTTAGGTTTAAATTTTAAAATGGGGTCCTGGTTTTGCCCCTTCCATAGCCACATATTACAACCGTAACTCCAAATTTCAATGCCCTAAGAACTACAGAATTGTAATGCGGTCAAGACATTTAAAAATTCATTGATTTTTTTTCATTGTTGAAAAATACAAATTCCATGCTTCACTGGTATAACTAAAAGTTGGTTGCCTTTGAGCATTTGTTCTTTACCAGATAACAAGCTCTTCACTTCAAAGAATTGCTTGATTCAACCTGTAGAACAACTATCAAGGGTTATCATCGGCTCCATCTTGCAGGTGAGCAAACAGGTGCCAAAACCAGGATTCGAAGCCCCATTTCTGGCATCAGAGTCGGTCCTCTGAACACTTTCTCAGGAGTCACCAATTTAACTCACATCCACAGTGGAAAAAATGATCTATAGCCCAAGAAAGCATTTCAGTTCACAAACCTGATAAACATATTACTAAAAAAGAAAAGCTTAGCAAGATCCAGTTTGTTTTTTGTTTTTTGTTTTTTTTTTTTTGTTTTTTTTTTTTTTGCTTAGTCTTCCTTCACTGCATAGCCTAGTGCCTGATAACATGGTAGGTGCACCAAACATTTGCTGAAAGGAATCAACAAAGTCACCAAGTCTAGAGAAAACAAAGATGGAAGTAGTACAATCCAGAGAGGGTTTGCCCTTACGTCATTCAACACGTACATCATCACTTACATCAGATGACATGGGCCTTCTAACAAGGGAAGTTGTTTCCTCTCTTCCCGAGGCAGAGCATGCAAAATGGAGTTCAAAGTCTTCAGAGCCTGTTTGGAGTTGGAGAAAGTATTCGCAGGGAAGAATCAAACATGGAGACCCGTGCACAACTGTCTCTAAGGTCTCCAGAGCAATGGTTATCAACTGGTTTGTTACTTGCAACTCACCTCCTGTTGAATCAAGTGATTTACAGTCTTTTCTGTCACCAGAAAGCCTAAGGTAAATATGAAGGAACCCAGCATCTGAATTTTTCCTGAAAGCACAATTGTTAAAGAATCAAACTGATGCTAAAATGAATAAGGGAATGACTCTCACACAACAGGAAGAGGCCAAGACTGGAAAATCCAGGAGGGCAGTAAACATTTTAGAAGTTAAAACCAAACAGTCTGGGAGATAAAACATGGAGAAAATGCACTTGCATCGCATAGACTCTCATTCAGGAGAACAGCAGCATACCTGAAGCGAGACTTTGATTGCCCGATCTCAAGCAAAGTTATTTTTGGTCCACACTGAGGGACAAACATACAAAGGGCAGCTCCTATAGTTTTCTGTGTTTCTTCTGTTTGTGCATTAAAAAAGATATTTGTAATGTCTTCTATAATAGAACGCTTTTAATAAGGTGTTGGTCTTTATTAAACAGCCTAATCACAGAAATTTCAATAGCTATTTATAGGTCCATGTGTAGTAAAATCAGTAGGTGGTTATTCTTCATGATTCTTCATGCTTATTAAACTAGATTTGGGATTTCATTTATGCCCATTAAGATACAAAATGATAGTGGTAGTATACAAAATTCTGATAAGTCCAAAAATTTATGGTAAGGTCATAGCATTAGATAGGTTCAAATGTGCAATTTTGATGTATGGATTATCACAGGTAATATACTCACTCCCCCCATATACTTCATGAAACTGTAGGAAACCAAACCAGAAAATAGAAAAGAGATTCCTCTTCCATTTAAAAAAAAAAAAAAAAAAAAAAAAAAAAAAAAAAAAAAAAAGGAAACCCAGGGGCACCTCAGTTAGTCAGTTATCTGACTTTAGCTCATCTCAGGTCATGATCTCATGGTTTGTGGGTTTGAGCCCCATGTTGGGCTCTGTGCTGACAGCTCAGAGCCTAGAGCTGTTGTAGATTCTGTATCTCCCTCTCTCTCTACCCCTCCCCAACTTGCTCATGCACATTCTCTCTCAAAAATAAAAAAAAGCCAGATTGGTACTGCTGAATGATTTCTGGGAACCAAAAATTTGGCTAATGGCTAAGCCAACAACTTGCTTGCCAGCTTAAAACTTGAGATTTCAATACAGCCCAGATGGACAGAAGGGATCCTAAAGACCTTTATGTACCAGATTATCAAACATCAGATGCCAATCTTTTCATTTAAATAGTAAAGAAAAACTGACAAATACAGCCCTATAAAAAAAGAGAGGCACTACCATTGGGTAGAAGAGGGACTTTTATTTAAATTTTTTTTTAAACGTTTAAGAAATTTTAAATTTTTTAATAGTTTATTGTCAAGTTGGTTTACATAGAACACCCAGTGCTCATCCCAACAACTGCCCTCCCCCTCCCCCTCCCCTCCCCCTTCCCCTCTCCCCCACCCCCCTTCAGCCCTCAGTTTGTTCTCAGCAAATTTCTGAGAGAGAGAGAGAGAGCGCGCATGAGCAGGGGAGGGTGGGCGGGGAGACACAGACTCGGAAACAGGCTCCAGGCTCTGAGCTAGCAGTCAGCACAGAGGCCGAGGTGGCGCTTGAACCCACGAACCACGAGATCAACCGACTGAGCCACCCAGGTGCCCCAAAGAGGGACTTTTTAAAAAGTGCTTACTTCAGGAGACAAAAATTTAGAACCATCTTACTTATCACAGAAGACTTCAAAGCACAGAAAATAGTCACCCCACCCTCAAAGAGCCAGCACAATAAGTAACACAGCATGAAAGCAGTAGTGTGGAAAGCACCTGGGGGATAGATGTTGAAGAGACTTATTTACTCATCTCAGAACAGGTGGCAGAGGGGCAGGTATCTTCAGGAAACTTTTCCAAGGACAAAAATGCTGGTGGGCACCATTTCTCTCCCCACTCCCAGCTTACATGGCTGGACACATGGGAGCCAGCAGCGACCCTCTTTCAGTCTTACACCACACACCCCACTCCCAATGCTCCCTTACAGACCTGCTCCATCCAACCCGCCTGCCTCAACAGCCCATCCCTACCAAGTGCTCCTGCCCCAACACACCATGAAGCAGCCCCAGTGGGGACCAGCACCACTCCTAAGTGTCCACTGCCCTGGGGAGATGAGGCAATAAGTTCATTCCCCATGAAGTTGGCCTTCAGCAAGGAGGCTGATTGCAGATACCTAGTCTGACTGCCAGCCCCACACCAACCAAAGCCTCTGTGAGCCACATGGGGAGAAAGCCCAGTCATCTGATCTACCCACACAGAGAGGCTCATTGCAGACAGCTAGCCTGACTGTTGATCCTGCCCATCTATGAGACCAGAGGCCTTCACAGGCCCCTGATCACTGCATGGACTAAACTCTGCCCAGTGTGCCCACAGTAGGCAAAGTGGGTTGTTGCAGCTGACTGGGCTAAAAGCAAACACAGCTAGATACAAGAGTAAGGTGTACATAGCCCACCACCCATATGGGTGTCTAATCCTAGATTGTGCCAGGTTGTCTGATTCTGATGACCAAGGGATACAGTACTATAGGGAACTAATGAACTTCTACACAAAAGAAACTACTTTCATGACTAGGAGATGTAGCAATCCTCCCTAACACATAAACAGACAAAAGGAGGAGATAGAAGACTGTGTCCTAAATGAAAAAACAGACAAAAATCATAGCACAAGAGCTAAAAGAAACCGATAATAAAGAATTTTAAGTAATGGTCATAAAGAGAATCTACTCTCCTCTCAAGTCCAATGAGGGAGGAGGTCCTCAAGGAGGAGGTCAACAAAGACAGAAAATATAGAAGAGTCAGAGATGAAGAATCCAGTAACTGGAAGGGGGGAAAACACGCCAAAAAAAAAAAAAAAAAAAAAAAAAAAAAAAAAAAAAAAAAAAAAAAAAAAAAAAAAAAAAAAAAAAAAAAAAAAAAAAAAAAAAAAAAAAAAAAAAAAAAAAAAAAAAAGACAATAGGTTAAGGGAACTCATCAAGTGTAGTTGCAGTCACATTATTGGGATCCCAGAATGATATAAGAAAGGGGCAGAAAACTTAATTGAAGAAATAAATGAAAAGTTCCCTAAACCGGAGAAAAGAGACATCCAGATCCAGGAAGCACAGAGAACTCTTAATAAGATGAACTCAAGGAAGTCCACAACAAGATGAATTAAAAATGGCAAAACTAAGAATTCTGAAAGCAGTAAAGGAAAATAATTACATAAAAGGGAAACCACATAAGGCTACCAGCTTTTTTTTTTTTAGCAGATAATAAATTCTGTGGGCCAGAAGGGAATGGAAAGATATTCAAAGTGAGGACATGAAAAAAATTTGTAACCAAGATTACTCTACTTAGCAGCGTTATCATTCAGAATGAGATAGAGTTTCCCAGACAAACAAAAGCTAAATGGGTTCATCACCCCTAAATCAGGCTTACAAGAATTACAGGGAATTATTTGAGTGGGAAGGAAAGGCTGTAACTAAAAAGACCATTATAACAGGAAAAAAGTCACAGGTAAAAACAAACCTATAATCAAGGTAGTATATTCGTCACTTATAAAGCCAGTATGGAAGTTCTCACACTCAAGTAATAAAGTTTGTCATATCTACAAAAAGACAGTCAAGGATATGCAAAATAAAAATGACATACATAAAACATGGATGGAAGAGTAAAAATTTAATGCTTTTAGAATGCATTCAAGCTTAAGTTACCATCAACTTAATAAGGACTATACACACAAAAGGACATTATAAACCTACTGGTAAACACAAGTCGAAAACCTCTAATAGATAAAAGAAAGGAATCCAGGTGTTTGTGTATGTGTAACTCTAAAGAAAGCCTTCAAACCACAAGGGAAGACACAAGAAACAGCTACAAAAAAAAAAAAAAAGAAAAGAAAAGAAAAGAAAAGGAAAAGAAAAAAAGAAAAAACAGAACACAATGAACAAAATGCCAATCCAAAGCCTAATAATCGCTTTGAATGTAAACAGACTATTTCCATCACGGAGAAGATGGCAGAGTAAGAGAACCCCAAGATGACACTATCCCACGTATACAACTTGATAATACCCAACAGCAGAAATAATCCAGAAAACCACCCAAAGACTGGCACAACAAATACCATAAATAAAGCTATAGAAGAGGCCTTACTGAAGAGGGGAAGAAGGCCAAAGTGGCACTGGGAAACAAAACAGGTCACAGCCATCCACATTGGGATGGGAGGTGGGAAGTGGAGAAGAAACATACTGTCCCACTAAGGATCCCAAAAAGGAGAAGTCGTCTCCATAACAACTGGCTTTGAAAGCAAAAAGGCTTTTGTGACTCTTACAACCAGCGGGACTTAAAGCCTGGAGTCATAAAACCCAGTGGGCTCGGTTCTGGAAGAGTGAAGACCTTAGGAAGCTGAGTCTCTACCCTCAAAGAGACAGTCCAAGAAACAATCCATTCAGTTACAGCATAGAAGTAGCAGTTTGAAAAACTCCCGGGAAATATGAAGAGTGCAGTTTATTTTGAAGCAGGTCCTGGAATGGCAGGGATCTATGAGGGTCTTCTCCAGACACAGAGGAGCTGGAAGGCACGATCTTACACACACACACACACACACACACACACACACACACCTACCTCTGCAGGAACCAGCATAGCACCAGCATTTACTCCCCAACTTGCTTACACCACCTCAAGTCCCCCCACCCCCAACAGGCTTGCCTCAGTCCCCATGCTGTGGGTCCCCTCCCTCAGAAGACGGGCACACACCCTGCCAACATCATGACTCCCAACCTACATGTTCTGTGGGGCCTTGGTCCTGTTAGAAGTGGTAGTGGTGGTGGTGGTTGGGGGGGGGGGGAAGGCCTACAGAAGCTGGAGGTGCATCTTGTTAAAATTGCACATCCTTCCCATTTGGCACACTTTGTGGGTCTTCCCAGGCCACCCAGGTCCTAGCAGCAGCTGCTAGGCTCATTTCACAAGCAGACTGGCACACGCCTGGATAAAACTGCAGAACCCATCTTGGTGGGGTTCCAAACACCACCCACAAGAGGCAAAGAGAACCTGTGCAGATGACTGTACTGAAGGAAAAAGTGGCCAGGACACAACAG